GGTCTTCACGGCGGTTGGAGTCGCAACAGAACCCTGATGCGTACGCGCACCGAGGTTTAACAAACGAGCGCGCGCACGCCGATTGCTTCCCGTGACCACCGCGAGCGAGCGAGCTGAGGCTTAGCCTGATGTTACCCTCGGGGGCGGTCGCAATCGGACGGACGGTCTGACGCGGGAAGCGCCCGTCGGCGGTTTTAGCTCCACTTGTCGGCGTCAGCAAGGAAAGACAAAAAGCGTCTTCGCTGGGCAACGGTGACATCACCGATGTGGCGAGTCGCCTGCTGTCGAGAGCCCAAGTTCCCAATTGAGAGGCCGGATTCACGAGCCCGCTCAGTCTGAACGTTCCTCGTTCACGAGCCCGCTCAGTCTGAACGTTCCTCGTTCACGAGCCCGCTCAGTCTGAACGTTCCTCGTTCACGAGCCCGATCAGCCTGAACGTTCCCCGTTCACGAGCCCGCTCAGTCTGAACGTTCCTCGTTCACGAGCCCGGTCAGCCTGAACGTTCCTCGTTCACAAGCCCGCTCAGTCTGAACGTTCCCCGTTCACGAGCCCACTCAGTCTGAACGTTCCCCATTCACGAGCCCGGTTAGCCTGAACGTTCCTCGTTCACGAGCCCGCTCAGTCTGAACGTTCCTCGTTCACGAGCCCAGTCAGCCTGAACGTTCCCCGTTCACGAGCCCGCTCAGTCTGAACGTTCCTCGTTCACGAGCCCGCTCAGTCTGAACGTTCCTCGTTCACGAGCCCGCTCAGTCTGAACGTTCCTCATTCACGAGCCCTGTCAGTCTGAACGTTCCCTGTTCACGAGCCTGGTCAGCCTGAACGTTCCTCATTCACGAGCCCGCTCAGTCTGAACGTTCCTCGTTCACGAGCCCGGTCAGCCTGAACGTTCCCCGTTCACGAGCCCGCTCAGTCTGAACGTTCCTCGTTCAAGAGCCCTGTCAGTCTGAACGTTCCTCGTTCACGAGCCTGGTGAGCCTGAATGTTCCTCGTTCACGAGCCCGCTCAGTCTGAACGTTCCTCGTTCACGAGCCCGCTCAGTCTGAACGTTCCTCGTTCACGAGCCCGCTCAGTCTGAACGTTCCACAGTCCTGTAAGGGACCGCACGGAGGCCACGCACGGTGGGGCATCTAAACCGAATCTAAGCCACGTTTGGAGGCTGAAAATATTCCGCTCGCCCAAAACAAAGATGAACTCTGCCTCTCTTTAACACACAGTCGTAGGCTTTTGTGACCGGTATCCGTAACAAAGGGTCTTATTTTTGGGATTAGTATTGCGCAAATATAAACCTCTTGCGTCTGATCACACGATCGGCTTTGCAGCTCGATCGGGTGGCGCTTGTCATCCGCTCGTGAGAAGGCCGACCGTCGTTTTCGTTTGCTATCGGGTGCAATCGTGACAGCCACATCGGGCAGCTCAAAGACTCGGTGCCTGCTGGGTGCGCGGTGAAGTTCGCCGGAGCTCTTGTGAACGGCATGAAGCGTCGCGACCGGATCGTTCGCGAGACGCCTTCACGGTAGCGCTGTCCGTGCCGGAGCTTCGCGGCGAGGGGCTTGCCTGCAGGTTTCACGAGCAAAGGAGAATAACAGCAACAACAAAAAACCGACAGACTTCGAGGAAAAGAGCAAGCCGCACAAAACGTTTCTCGGGGTTTAAAGATCTTGCGGGACGCGCGCGATCTAATCACACTTGCATCGTAACGGGGGTCACGTACGGAGATAAACAACAACAAGGGTGAAGACCACCATCACAGCCAATGCTGTTGATACCACTGCACGCCAGCCATCGCTCCTTTCCCTCTGCTCGATCCTGTCGATGTTTCACAGCTGACACCCGACCTTCAAGGAGCCCTCTTACAGTCTCTTCGCCACCGCCGCCACCGCCACCACCACCGTATGGCTTATGGTCTTCCCCTTGCCACACGACGGCCGCCCTCACCACCGCCTCGCCACCGTCACTCCACCGCCTCACCACCGTCACTCCACCGCCTCGCCACCGCCTCACCACCGCCTCACCACCGCCTCACCACCGTCACTCCACCGCCTCGCCACCGCCTCACCACCGTCACTACACCGCCTCGCCACCGCTACCGGCCCACGGACCGTTGGGTCGCCATCCCCGTGGCCAGCGCATTTGCATCGAGCGCAATTTTACGCAAATGGTCGTACAGTCGGTCGGGGAGGGGGGGGGGGGTGTGGGGGGGGGGGCCGCGGTAGGGGGGGATAGAGGGGAGGGGGCGTTATATTAAAAATTAAATTATTGAACGGAAGGGAGGGGGGGAGGCTGGGAGATTTCGGAGTCCCCCGCGAGGCCGGCTCGCCCTGCCGTGACAAACGAGTGACGATGGCTGATTAACGAATCACCGCGAGGAGGCGATTAGACCCACGCGCGGGTTTGAAGGGCAAACTTGGACAAGTGCACAGACACGCACATGCGTTACACACACACACGCGTTACACACGCACACACGCGCACGTGTGCCTGTGCACGCACGCACCGACACGCGCGCGCGTTGCACGCGCACAGAGAGAGGGAAGCAGCACTGCACTCAATAGCACGGAGTGTATATATGTGAAAAAAAGAAAATCCCTGCGTGGTTGCGGTGCGTGAACACGCACGTCCTCCACACGTTACTTGACCCTTGCGGCATACAGCACCGTGGACGGTGCTTCGCCACGGACAAGGCCAAAAGCAGCGATCGACGCTCGTGTTGATTTGTAAATAAGCGAGCCCGTGGATCTTGGGCGAACCCAAAGGGCATTACATCTGTGAAATTATATACGGTGTATATATATACACACACACACAGTGCGTGCGTGTTTTATATTGCGCATGCTGCGCTCGATGGAAGGTATATCGCCGTTCACGAATATCGCTCAGCATTCTGCGCGTTGTGTTCAAGTGGATTTTCTAAACGACATTGTATAGCAAGAGTCATCATCATCATCATCGTTGTTGTTATATTAACAATAACAATTCAGCGAGGCTTTGTACTTCCTCCATATGACAACTATATAAACGAATGTAATTACGACTAATGACACTATATATCCCGACTGCTATCATATTTCTCACGTAGCTGGACGTGTCTAGCTGATGAACTCTTGAAACGGTGAACAAGGTTTCCACTCAAGGTCTTCCGGCCAAAAATTTATAGCGTCCATTAGTGAGGGAGTCCTACATTACGTATATTTATATTTAATATCACCTAATCCCTGCCAAGGCGGAATTAATGTAGCCTAATGTTCGTCTAAAGGGAATACTGCACACTGCTGATTACACGCAAGTACTGTACAGGACTACCACTTCCACTAATTACAGCCACTGCTATCACTAACGTCTGCTACCCAAGGCCACTAACACCATAACCAACACTGTCGCCACCACCACCACCAACCAATACGCCACTAACATCATAACCAACACCGGCACCAACACTACCACCCAATACGCCACTAACACCATAACCAACACCGGCACCAACACCGCTACCCAAGGCCACTAACACCATAACCAACACCGGCACCAACACCGCCACCTAATGCGCCACTAACACCATAACCAACACTGTCGCCACCATCACCACCCAATACGCCACTAACACCATAGCCAACACCGGCACCAACACCGCCACCTAATGCGCCACTAACACCATAACCAACACCAGCACCAACACCGCCACCTAATACGCCACTAACATCATAACCAACACCGGCACCAACACTGCCACCCAATACGCTACTAACACCGGCACCAACACCGGCACCAACACCGCCACCCAATACGCCACTCACACCATAGCCAACACCGCCACCGGCACCACCGCCACCCAATACACCACTAACACCATAACCAACACCGCCACCCAATACGGCACTAACACCATAACCACTCCAGCCGCCACCACCGCCACTCAATATGCCAGTAACACCGTAACCGCCACCGCCATACCATAACCACCACCACTTACACTGCCATCAAAACAACCGCTCCCGCCACTGACGACTGCCACTGCTTCCTTAACTTGGGAAAGATCCCAAAGGTTGTCGAAGAGTCGACACCTCACGACGAATCAGTGAGCACCTCCACTGGCACCCACCACAGCCGCCACTGCTGCCACCGCCACCACCGCCACCACCACCACCACCACCGCCGCTTCTCAACATCTTCACCATTACCAACGCTGTCACATAAGTGTATCAACCGCTTTCACGATTGCCGCCACCATCACCACGATTACGACTGAACACGGCTACTAGCCACCACTGCCACACTACTGCTGCTACCCAGCATCTTCATCATCACCACTACTACCACTGCCACCGTAACTACCGCTGCCACTAACACCATCTTCACAACCACCACCACTGCAAGCCATCGGTTAAACCCTCATCACCGGCGGCACAACGACCATCGGCACCACCACTGCTGTCACGTAAGTCGGCCGCCCAACATCGTATCCCCTGAACACAACCGCCACCTGAAGTTACCACCTCCAACGCTGTCACCGCCGCCACCCGATAGTGGCTCCATCGCCACCGCTGCCACTCAACACACGAAGGCTCACCACCGCTGATACGCAACATCTGAGTCCTCGCCAGCACGACCACCGAACACCGGTGCCGCAACTCCCATCGGCGCTCCCGCCTCCGTCGCCACCACTGCAACCCAAACTCAAAACCCTCGCCGCCGCTGCCACCACCGCCGCCGCCATCGTTGCCGCTCCTCAACATCCGAACCCTCGCCACCGCTGTCAGAATAACCACCACCGTCACCACCCACACGGCTCCAATCAGCTCTGCCACGGCTATCACCACCGCTACCGCTCCATTCGACCGCTGCTACCATCTGAAACCTCACCACCACTGTCACCACCACAGCTGATATCCATCACCAAAACCTACACCACCACCAGCACCACCGGTATCCATCATCCAAGCCCTCACCGCCGCTATCGCCACCGGACTTGGTCCCGGCGACCGCACTCCGTCAGGGTGGAGACCATGGGCCAGTGCGTGGCGCGCTGCGGCCGCGGCTCGCACCGCCACGGCCACCGCCACCGCCACGCCAACGGCACGGCCCACGGCGGCGGCAACGGAGCCGCCAAGCCGGGCCGCGGCCCGACGCTCCGCGGCGGCGGGGGCCGCCGCTCCGACGCGGCCGCCGTGAACTCGGAGGAGGCGCAGAACGGCGGGCCCGCCCGTGCCACCGCCGGCACGGCCGCCACGGCCGGCGCGGGGCCCAAGCGGCGCACCAGCTGGCTGGGGGACGTGGTGGGCGGCGTCGTGGGGGGGAGCTGCGTGGGGGCTGGCTGCCCGCTGGGGAACGCCGGGGAGCACGGCTACGGGGGCGGCGGAGGTGGCGGGTGAGTGAAGGTGGTACCCACCTCCCCCCGCACCCCTCAACCTCCCCCCATTCCCACCTCCGCCCCCGCCCCCCCCCACCTCCCCCCGCGAGTAGTGAGGCGTCTTCACGAGGGGTGAGGCGTTGTCGCGAGTATCTGTTGATTCTGATTTGGTTCTTTCGGCAAAGTGACGTAGGTAGAAATAAAATGAAAATAAAATAAAAATCACGACGTTTCGAGCGCCACACAAGCGCCCGTCTGCAGGTGGAAATCGCGACAGCTGCGATGTCTACTGCGAGCAGCACGATGTCCGTGGACATCGTGCATGGATTCCTGCAGTCACGAAAGCTTCAAATCAAGATCACCTGTTGATACGTTTGAGCGCTTGCTGCTGCCATCTCTCAGTCTAAATGTGCGTCAGGTGGCCACGACGCAATCGACGGACGGCCATGCAGACAATCTCAAATGAACGGCACCACGGACTCACTGGCGTCTTTGCTCTCTGCCCGAAGCTGGGGGGGGGGAGGCGGGGGGGGGGAGGCGCGTTATTTTCCGCTACCGCCGGTCGGCTCATCGTGCTCGGACACGATGAGCCGATCTTCTCGCCCCGTCGCTTTCGAGCGCAGTTTTCCTCCCGGGGGGTGAACGAGTAAAGTCCATCTCGAGGGCGCCCGATAACCCTGACGGGCGCGTCTCCTGCTCGCACCACCCCCGGCGCGTGCGCCGGCACGACACCGCGCGGAACGGGCGACCGGGAACGGTGCTCCGGACTTGCGGTTGCTCCACGGAGCGTCGAAGGGGCAGGCGGGCGGAGCTCGCCGAGGCGCTCGAGACCACAGCGTTCCTGGAGGCGTGAGCAGCGCCGAACCGAATCGGCGCTAACAGAGGCCGTTAGGCCACCACGTGTATGGGGTTGCGTTCCCGGCAGCATCATCCCTTTCGTATGCGCAATATAGGGGGACTTTATTTAGGGGGGGGGGGGGTGGTTATTGGTAATAGCGCTGACAATAATAATTATACAGATTCATCTTCTTTGGTTCTTTCGGTAAAGTCACGTAGAATGAGAATAAAATGATAAAATAAAACAGTAAAATTCTCACGACGTTTCGGCCACAACACAAGTGGCCTTCTTCACCTGAAGAAGGCCACAAAGTGCAAGAAAAGTTAAGAAATCATTTATTATGTTATTCTCATTCTACGTGACTTTACCGAAAGAACCAAAGAAGATGAATCCTTGCAGTCACGAAAGCTTTAAATCGAAATTATACAGATGGTAAACATTACTTCGTAAAAATAATTATTTATGTTAACATCAGTAAGCAGCATCAGAATCAGTGTTTAGACTGCAGGAAGAGGAATCCGATGAGCTATAAAGCTCTTCTCTCACAGATGTTCAGTCGGGCCACGGGGTAAGAACGTTACAACAACAATCAATACGAAAAAAACACGATAGGAGTGCAAAGCGCAAGAAAAGTTAAGAAATCACCCAAACAAATACAACACTAAACCAATAGGTTTTCCCCTTTCTGGCAATACAGCAGCTGTTTAAAATTGTTAAAACACCAAGCAGAATCCTTTTTCAAGGAATCATGTCTGCATTAACCACACATAGTTGTGGTGAACATACATACAAACAAACAAACGAAACACCATTAAAGAAAGCTGTCTCTGGTGTGGACCAAATCTGTTTCAAAGACAATTCATCTACTATCAGAGGCACATGTTTTTGTTTGCTTGTTCACCACAAGTAGGCTCTCATGGCCTGGCTCCTACGCCAGTGGTTCTTCAACTGTACTGCAGCCTCGTATGTTTGATGTTAATAACTACGTAGGGTTTGAAACAAAGTAGTTGTTGGACTTACGTGCCCGTGCTTAATTTGTGTTTCCCCCTCCCCCCCCGCATGATTTACCTTCTGACAAAAACTCTGGCCACGTCTCGCTTACCCCCGGAAAGGGCATCTCGCACCCCCCACGCGGGGTTCCGTGCATCCCAGGTTAAGTGCATCCCATTGATGCACGCGGTGGCGCTAAGCGAGGCCTGCCCGCACGTATTGCGAGCGCGCTGCTCTTTCGCGGTGCACTGGAGGATACGATGGCATTTTAAAACCTATTCCTGTCTGTATAGCCGAGCGGCATCAAGGCTGATTATTGGATCTTTGCACTTAGTGCCACTCTCGATGGTGGTAATAAAACAATAATGATATAAAAAATAAATGTTGCCAGCGCAGTGAAATCAGATGGGTTTCATGTGGGCAGTTAATTATTGAAAGCTTACGTGATGCGCATGCATCGCGAGGTCGCACGGAGTGCGTTGGAGCTACCGAAGAGATCAGTGGAATCGGCTCGCGTGCGGCTGCTGGCCAGCTGGGTGGATTGTTGCATCGCAAAAAATCGTTGAGGAATCGTGGCGCCACTCGGCAAGGCCTCCATTCAGCAGTGGATAGATCACGGATGACGACGACGATGATGATGATGAACGTGGTGGTAATCCCATCCTGGTAAAAACTAAAACACCTTTCCCAACAAATTAGTCGTAGCGCATGGGACACCGACAAATAGTGCGCAAAAACGGCGTTTAGAATTTTACTCTTGCGAGACAGAAAGAATCCAATTAATATTTATGGAGAGCACCTCCACTGAAGGCGCTCTATATTATTAATGTTAACGATTCGTCCGTTCAGTTCTCAGTCCGCTTGTCCTGGCGAGGGTCGCGGCAGCAGCGTGTTGAGTACGGCAGTCCAGACCTGCCTTTCCCTGGCGACGGACTCTAGCACTAATACACTATACACTACACTCCTCTACACTACCACACTACTATACACAGACTCAAGCTCTTCCTGGGGAATTCCCAGGCCAGCCGAGCGACAACGTCCCCCCAACATGTCCTGGGCCGGCCCCGGGGACTTCGCTCAGTGGGACTTCGCTCATTAGAGTTCCAGGGGGAGTCTAAAGGGGGGCATCCTTACCGGGTGCCCGAACCACCTTGACTGGCTCCTCTCGATCCGGAGGAGCAGCCTCTTGACTCCGAGTCTCTCCCGGATTACCTCCTCACCCTATCACGGAGAGTGAGCCCGGCAACCCTGCGGAGAAACCTCATTTTGGCCCCTTGCACCCGCGATCTCATTCTCTCGGTCATTACCCAAAGCTCTTGACAGTTGCAGGTGAGGGTGGGAACGTAGATCGACCTGTAAGCCAAGATCTTTCTTCGAGAACTGAGCCCCCGCTTCACTACCACGGATCGGTACAGTGCCTGCATCACAGCGCCCGCATCACTGCTCATTGCGCAGGGGGCGGCGGCGCTTGACGACCTCGGCCTCGCAGAACAATTGCAAAGCCTCAGGACCGCAGTTCGTCGGTCGGACGTGGAGGCAAATTGCTGAAAGGCCACGGTGTGCGCGTGTGTGTGTGTGTGTGTGAATTGAGCGTGCTGAATAGAATCGTGCGAGGAGCTACTCGAGTTTCACCCTGGACGTGCAGAATCAACGTCACGCGCTTGGGAGTGTTTGGCTGCTACAGATGTCCACGTGATAAGCCACTTCGTTGAGCTATCGTTTGTGGCTCGAGCTGTGTAGCTCAGTGGGCCTTACATGGTAAAATAAATACATAAAGTTTCTAGTTTTAATAGTTTTAAAGTCAGCAGCACCTGTTGAGGCCGGCCCTGTGGCACACGAAGGGGTGGGCGGCCAGCACCACGCCCGGCCGCCTTTGCCTCCCCAGCAGCGACGATTTTACACACCGCACCAGATATTCATTTGAGGCTGAGTGGACCTAGGTGAGGCCCAGGACCGGTTCAGATAATCGTAGCCGGTGTTGTTGATCCCCCCGCGTCTCCGATTAGAACGGTCGGCTACGTACGGTGCGCGAAAGAAGTTCAACATGCGTAGCTGTGAGCAGGAATCGAACCCGGGTCGCTCGGTTCATCGCGCGGTACGCCGAGCTCTACGCTGCCACTCCCCACTCGTGGTCTCGTGGTGGTGCAGCGCGTCAACGGGACACGTGGCGCGAGAGAGAGAGAGAGAGAGCGCTACAGGAACTGGTGGGTGGTCGGGATGGGAGTGAGTGACGTGAATCCCTCCGCTCCTCCACCCCACCCGACCCACCGCCCGTCCACACCGAGTGAGCAGGGTTCAAGAGCGCCGCGTGGAGGAGCTGTTCCGGCGCTACCGCGATGAGCACGAGGATGCGGTGCTGGAGGAGGGCGTGCAGAGGCTGTGCCACGACCTGGGCTCCGAGCCCGCTGACTTCACCGCCCTGGTGCTCGCGTGGAAGTTCAACGCCTGCACCGTCTGCCAGTTTACGAGGTGCGGGCCGGCTGTGTCGTGGGGGGGGGGGGGGGGGGGAGGGGGGGGGGGAGGGGGGCGGCGGCGGGGGCATTGCGGTTATTATTTTTAAAAATCTGAATATTTACAATATTCTGGAGGAATCCGATGAGCTATGAGGCTCTTCTCCCCACCCACCCCACCCCCCCACCCCATGGACGTGTCCAGTAGTTCTCGCAAGTGTCCGGGAAGTTTTTTTTCCTTGGGAGGTTTGTGAAAGGGTGCGCGCTTCTAGAGGTGACGGCTTCATGAAGGGAGGTCCCAAAGGGAGGCCTGGAAGAAAGATCTGGAAGAAAGATCTGGAAGGAAGATCTGGAAGAAAGATCTGGAAGGAAGATTCGGAAGGAAGGTCTGGAAGGAAGATTCGGAAGGAAGGTCTGGAAGGGCGGTCCGGAATGAAGGATCGGAAGGGAGGTTCAGAAAGGAGGTCTGGAAGGGACGTCCGGAAGGAAGGTTTAAACGGGAGGTCTTGAAGGTTCAGAAGGGAGGTTCGGAAAGGAGGTCTGGAAGGGAGGTCTTGAAGGGAGGTCCGAAAGTAAGGTTCAGAAAGAAGATCTGGAAGGTTTGAAAGGGAGGTTTGAAAGGGAGGTTTGGAAGAGAGGTTCAGAAGGGAGGTCTGGAAGGGAGGTCCGAAAGTAAGGTTCAGAAAGAAGATCTGGAAGGAAGGTTGGAAGGAAGGTTGGAAGGAAGGTCTGGAGGGAGGTTTGGGAGGGAGGTTTGGGAGGGAGGTTTGGAAGATCTGGAAGGGAGGTCCAGAAGGATGTTGGGAAAGGTCGAAGGGCACAGAAAGGAAGATGCTGTTCTATGACTCCCAAGAAAGGTTTCGGTTGGGAGGCCAGAGTGAAACGAAGAGAGATCAAGATCGGAGAGGATGGAGGGGAGCTTGTTTGGATCAAGGACCGGTCATCGAGCAGCCGCAGAAGACTAAAGAAGAGAAATGAATCTGTTCATTTCATTTGAGCGGTTGTTGTTGTCGTTGCTGCTGCTGCTGCCATCTGTCACGTAGCCGCAACACAAACGCCGGTGATCATGCACACAATCTCAAATCAATAACCAACATCGACTTACGGTGGAGACTCGTGAAAGACGCTGCTGGAACGTTGGAGGCACAGTTGATTCATCTTCCAGCCATCTCAGTCAGTCAACCCATGGCACCTGCCGGGTCTGTCCCGTGACCTCCTGCACCTAGCCTGGCACAGTAGGGGGTACAGCTAGTGGTACATCTACCGGTCATCTCAGTCAGCCAACCCATGGCACCTACTGGGTCTGTCCCGAGACCTCCTGCACCTAGCCTGGCACAGTAGGGGGTACAGCTGGTGGTGCATCTGCCGGCCATCTCAGCCAGTCAACCCATGGCACCTGCCGGGTCTGTCCCGTGACCTCCTCCTGCCAGCAGCGAGCCTTCGACACTTCACGTGGCCTCGGAGTGCACCTAGCCTGGCACAGGCGCCGTAGTGACGTCACCGTCACTTAGTGGGGGATAGCGGCTGTTGGTGTTGTCGAGGTTCGCCCACTGCGCTATGAACCCTCGTGTCCGAGTTTGAAGCCCGCTCACAGCCAAATCAGTGGTGGATATCTGAACTGTTCCTGGTTCTCTCCTAGGTCGACTCGGCCTCAAATTGAGTACCTGCTGAGGCGTGTAAATATCGGCGTTTGGCGGATGGGCGTTGTGCTGGTAACACAATCTTCTCGTGAGCCATGCCAGGCTTAACAGGCGCTCGCTAACGCCACTTGCCTCAACAGTCCTCGAGTGTCACGTGTCTGTTGTGTGTGGGGAGCGGTGGCGCAGCGGTTAGCGCTACGCTGCGCTACGAACCCGGCGACCCGAGTTCGATTCCCGCTCACGGCCAAACCAGTGACGATTATCTGAACCGGGCCTGGGCCTCCCATAGGTCGGTGTGTAAACATCTCCACTCGGAAGACAAAGGCGGCCGGGCGTAATGTTGCCCACCCACTCCCGCGTGTGCCGTGCCGGCCCTCATAGGTGCTGCTACTCGCTCACCGCACTTGCCCCAACAGTCTGTTAATGCTACACGGAGGGGGGGGGGTCTTTGTCTTTGTGTAGCTGTCTCTGTAACCCTCTCTATCCCATCTTTCTTTCATTTATGTCACCCTCCTCCCCTCCGCTCCTATTCTGTACCTCTTGTGTCTCTCCTACTTCTCTCTCCCTTCTGAGTGTCTCTCTCCCCCTCTCCGCTCACCCCTCTGTCTCTCTCTCACCTGTGCGTCTCGCTGTCCACCCCCGCACCTCCGATCAGCACGGTTTTCTTCGTACGGTGCGAAATAAGTGCAACATGCATACTACTCTACACTCCTATACATTACACTACTATACAGTACACTATACACTACAATATACACGCAACTACTATACACTAAACTATATACGCTCCGATTAACATGGTTGTCTATGTACGGTGTGAAAGAAGTTCAAAATACGTACGCAGAATCTGTGTATCTATCTATCACCTCCCTCTGCTCGATCCATTTCTCTCTCCCATCTCCAACTCGTTCTGTGTATCTCTCTCCTCCGCTCCGCAGGTCTCTCTTTCATCTCCCTTGTGCTTCTCACGCGCGAGGCATCTCTTCTCTCCTTCCACTCTAAACCTTTCTGTGTATTCTTTCTCCCGTCATTCGCTTTTTCTCTGCTACCCTTCCCCTCTTTCCAGTCTCTCCCTTCTCTGTCTCTCCACTCTTCCTCTTTCTCCCTGTCCCCCCCCCCCCCCATGCCTCTCTCTACCCTTGGTTCCTTTCTTTCCCTGTGTCTCCCTCCCCTCTGTGTCTCACCTCCGTGTCTCTCTCTCCCCTCTGTCTTTCTCCCCTCTCTCTTCTCTCTATCTCTCTTCCCTCTCCATCTTTTTCCCCTCTGCGTCTCTCCCTCCCCTTTGTCTCTCTCTCCCCTTTGTCTCTCTCCCTTCTATCTCTCGCCTGTCTCTCCTTCCCCCATCTCTCTACCCTCTGCCTCGCTCCTCTCTTCCTCGTCCTCCTCCTACCCCCCCCCCCCCCCAAGCAGAGCAGAGTTTTTTTCTGGCTGTCGCTCCATGCGCGCCGACAGCATCCGCTCGCTGCGCTCCCGGCTGCCCGATCTCTTCTCCGACCTCCGGCACGAGGACTCCTTCCGCGACTTCTACCGCTACGCCTTCCACCTGGGTCTCGCCGACGCCGATGACGCCGCCGCGGCCGCGTCCTCGGCGGACCCCGGCCGCCGGCGGCGCTGCGTGCCGCTGGGGGGCGGCGGCGGAGCTGTGGCGGCGCGTCTACGCTCGCGACGGCCCCCCCGCTGCTCGGCCTGTGGCTGCTCTTCCTGGGCGAGAACCCGGGGGGCGTGCGCGGAGTGTCGCGCGACACCTGGCTCATGTTCCCCAGCTTCGCGCACGCCGCGGGGCCCGACCTGGCCGGCTATGCCGAGGACGAGGCCTGGCCCAGCCTCTTCGACGCGTTCGCCGAGTGGGCGCGGGGACGCGACGGGCAGGACCGGCCGCGCGTCGCCGAGGGGGGCGACGGAGGCGGCGGAGACGGCGACGCGGCGGGGGAGGGGAGGGACGCGGAGGACGAGGGCGGCGGGAAGAGGGAAAGGAGGGGCGGCCGCTCTTGCCGCTCGCGGGGCGGAGAGGATGCGAGGGGGGCGGCGACGCCGTGGGCCTGCGTGGAGAGACGAAGCTCGGCAGGGGAAGCAGCCGCCCAGGACGGATGAGGCTCGGCGCCGGCGGCGTCCTGTACTGGGTACGATGCGGACGCCTCGAGCGATGGTCGGCGACGACGACGACGGTTATCGTGAACGCCGAGAGTTGAAGAGCGAACGGAGAGCGAAAGGGGGGGGGCCGATTGGCGAGGCGGTGGAGGCGCCGTTCACCATAGAGTTACGGCGAGTGCGAGCCAGTTGTTGGCTTGTGCCTGGTTAGAAGTGGGGCCGGTACTCGTGATGCACTGCCTAGCTGGTGAGGGTTAAGTTCAGTGAGAGGGATATTACGAGTGGCTCGTTGGCTCGTTATGTTTAGAGTGATCTGGTGTGGTGGGGTGTAGGGCTCAGTACGAGTAATTTACCCGCTCATTGGTTATCAGCGTGTGAAGTTGTGCAATATTTAAATGCGATCGAAAAGACGCTGTTTCACAGAGAGAGAGGTGGCCAGTCGCAGGCAGAGGGACAGAACAAACAATGGAAAGGCTTTCGGCCTAGGCTTGAGCAAGAGGGCCAAAGGGAGTTCAAGAGGAAGAGGAGGCAAAGTATATTTGTAAACGCGCAAAGTCACGTGACGCCGGTCATCACGAGTGCGCACGTGACCGGAGGGAGTCCCAGACCATGGGGGCCAGCAGAGGAGAAGGAGCGACCTCCAGAGCCAAAGTGGGAAACGGCTTTTGGCCCGTCAACCGGGTGGCTGGAGACTCAGTGACAGGGTTGAGTTGGTTCAGTGCACTGTCCTCCACAAACACTTTGACCCCTTTCCACCCCATTACGAGGGACCCCCCCACCACCCGCTACTCCCTCTCCCCCTTTAAGTTTCCGGTGTTCACAGCTCCCCCACGTCCTGCCAGATGGGTGAGTGTCGTGGTTGGACGAGCGAGGTTCTTTGGAGGAGACGCCGCTACCGGAAACATCACCACGTGATTTTGACGCCAAAGTCGCCCTCGCCGATGCAATGGGCGGAACGCGGGTGATGCCGATTCGTCGGCATGGCGGCGAAAGCGCCTAAGCGATTGCACCGGCCGCCCGTTAGCATCCGGTGTGAGAAATGCGTTGCCGTGCACGGGACCGCCAAAGATGTGACGTGTCACTGCGATTGGACTATCGAAGGATCGCCAAGGTGTGACATGTCGCTGTGATTGGATTAGCAAAGGATCGCCAAAGATGTGACGTGTCGCTGCGATTGGACTATCGAAGGATCGCCATGTTGTGACGTGTTCCTGCGATTGGATTAGCAAAGGATCACCTTGGTGTGACGTGTCCCTGCGATTGGATTAGCAAAGGATCACTATGGTGTGACGTGTCCATGCGATTGGATTAACAAAGGATCACCAAGGTGTGACGTGTTGCTGTGATTGGACGAGCCAAGGATCGCCAAGGTGTGACGTGTCACTGTGATTGGACGAGCAAAGGATCCCCAAGGTGTGACGTGTCACTGTGATTGGACGAGCAAAGGATCGCCAAGGTGTGACGTGTCACTGTGATTGGATGAGCAAAGGATTGCCATGGTGTGACGTGTCGCTGTGATTGGACGAGCGAAGGATCGCCAAGGTGTGACGTGTTGCTGCGATTGGACGAACAAAGGATCGCCAAGGTGTGACGTGTCACTGTGATTGGACGAGCGAAGGATCGCCAAGGTGTGACGTGTCACTGTGATTGGACGAGCAAAGGATCGCCAAGGTGTGACGTGTCACTGTGATTGGACGAGCAAAGGATCGCCATGGTGTGACGTGTCGCTGTGATTGGACGAGCAAAGGATCGCCAAGGTGTGACGTGTTGCTGCGATTGGACGAACAAAGGATCGCCAAGGTGTGACGTGTTGCTGTGATTGGACGAGCAAAGGATCGCCAAGGTGTGACATGTCACTGTGATTGGACGAGCAAAGGATCGCCAAGGTGTGACGTGTCACTGTGATTGGACGAGCAAAGGATCGCCATGGTGTGACGTGTCGCTGTGATTGGACGAGCGAAGCATCGCCAAGGTGTGACGTGTCACTGTGATTGGACGAGCAAAGGATCGCCAAGGTGTGACGTGTCACTGTGATTGGACGAGCAAAGGATCGCCAAGGTGTGACGTGTCGCTGTGATTGGACGAGCAAAGGATCGCCAAGGTGTGACGTGTCGCTGCGATTGGACGAGCAAAGGACCGCCAAGGTGTGACGTGTGGCTGTGATTGGACAAGCGAAGGATCACCAAGGTGTGACGTGTCGCTGTGATTGGACTATCGAAGGATCGCCATGGTGTGACGTGTCGCTGTGATTGGACGAGCAAAGGATCGCCAAGGTGTGACGTGTCGCTGTGATTGGACGAGCAAAGGATCGCCAAGGTGTGACGTGTCGCTATGATTGGACGAGCAAAGGATCGCCAAGGTGTGACGTGTCACTGTGATTGGACGAGCAAAGGATCGCCAAGGTGTGACGTGTCACTGTGATTGGACGAGCCAAGGATCGCCAAGGTGTGACGTGTCGCTGTGATTGGACGAGCGAAGGATCGCCAAGGTGTGACGTGTCGCTGTGATTGGACGAGCGAAGGATCGCCAAGGTGTGACGTGTCACTGTAATTGGACAAGCGAAGGATCGCCAAGGTGTGACGTGTCACTGTGATTGGACTATAACAGGATCGCCAAGGTGTGACGTGTCGCTGTGATTGGACAAGCGAAGGATCACCAAGGTGTGACGTGTCGCTGTGATTGGACTATCACAGGATCGCCAAGGTGTGACGTGTCGCTGTGATTGGACAAGCGAAGGATCGCCAAGGTGTGACGTGTCACTGTGATTGGACTATCACAGGATCGCCATGGTGTGACATGTCGCTGTGATTGGACAAGCGAAGGATCGCCAAGGTGTGACGTGTCGCTGTGATAGGACTATCACAGGATCGCCATGGTGTGACGTGTCGCTGTGATTGGACAAGCGAAGGATCGCCAAGGTGTGACGTGTCGCTGTGATTGGACGAGCAAAGGATCGCCAAGGTGTGACGTGTCGCTCTGATTGGACTATCACAGGATCGCCAAGGTGTGACGTGTCACTGTGATTGGACAAGCGAAGGATCACCAAGGTGTGACGTGTCGCTGTGATTGGACTATCACAGGATCGCCATGGTGTGACGTGTCGCTGTGATTGGACGAGCAAAGGATCGCCAAGGTGTGACGTGTCGCTGTGATTGGACTATCACAGGATCGCCAAGGTGTGACGTGTCGCTGTGATTGGACAAGCGAAGGATCGCCAAGGTGTGATGTGTCGCTGTGATTGGACTATCACAGGATCGCCATGGTGTGACGTGTCGCTGTGATTGGACGAGCAAAGGATCTCCAAGGTGTGACGTATCGCTGTGATTGGACTATCACAGGATCGCCAAGGTGTGACGTGTCGCTGCGATTGGATTTTTTAACCGAAGGAAGGCGAGGGGCATCCCCTCGATTTCGAGGAATGTTCGTTTCGGTTTCCCACGCCACGTCACGCGGACAGCAAGTTGCAGAAACTCCGCGGACGGTTTTTGATTTGACGAAATCCGACTTTTACCAGCATTGGCAAAAATGTTCACCGTGCGCCCGCGTCAAAAAATACAAGAGGCGAGCCCAGCGGGGGAGGCCGCCTCATCCGTCCGCCACCGGGACGTCCTTGACAAAGAGCTTGTCAGCTCATCAGATTCCTCCTGCTGTGCAACCCGAACGCCTCCACGCCATCGCCGCCTCGCCAGTCACTCCAAAGTGCTGCCGATCTTTTGGTGAGTTCCCTGAAAAAGGTTGTTTGTGGTTTTTAAATCCATCGTCATTACAATTTTTTCAATGTTTTACGTTCATCATTATTATTATTTTTGTATTGTGAGAAGTGATAAGTGGGTGGTTACATACTCTTTGGTTCTTTCGGTAAAGTCACGTAGATGAAAAATAATACACCCATTTCAAACCTTGTTAAAACAGTCTGCATCAGCAGCAGGCCACGGCTTTCCCACCCGATGACCAACGCTTGGTGTTCCGCCCGAAACGTCGTGATTTAATTTGGTTATTTTCATTTTATTATTTTCATTATTATTATTTGTATTTTTCATCTACGTGACTTTACCCAAAGAACCAAAGCGTATGGATCCTTGCAGTCGAATCTATGTACTGTAGCAGGTGGTTGTTCAGGGTGCTTCAAAACAAAGTTTCAAACACTTCTGAGAATTTGCAACGACACCACGTGACATGTGCTGCTGCCTCCGGGCTCCGGACACCACCTGGATAAGATTCCAGGCATAGCGTTGACAACGATGGCGATCAAGTGGGGAGAGACTCTTTTGACTTTTGAATCTCATTAACGTCACATTTGTTGTCCGTTCTTTTTTGCCATTGAAAACGATGGTTCCGTGTAAGTGCGAACAATTATTTTTGAAGCACCCTGTATATTTGTGGGTCGGGAGGAGGGTGCCAATCGCCGTCGAATCCCTCATTTCCCCCATTCAGTTAATGCGAGAAGGCAATTCCGATTCAGGGAAATGTCATTCTGCGCTTATTTCTTTGAAGAACGCAAGTCGAGGGACACTGGCTACCGGCAACTCGCCTCTCGGCACGTAACACAATTTGCCGTTCCTTCGCTCGATCGCTTCCTTCAACGTTTCAATGAACGCTCAACGGCAGTCGACGACCAAAAATCTCACGGATCGGAGCCCCGGCGGGCGTGGGATCCCAGCAGCTAGGCGGTCTCGATCCCCGGCCGGCGGTGCAGCAGCGCGTGGGCAGCGTGCGGCCGGTGCAGCAGCACGTGGGCAGCAGCACGTGGGCAGCAGCACGTGGGCAGCAGCACGTGGGCAGCAGCACGTGGGCAGCAACACGTGGGCAGCAACACGTGGGCAGCTCGTGCTGCTGCCGCTGCGTCCGGGCGAGCCGAGTTCGGTCGCCGCTCACGGCCGCCAACGCCGGTGACGGCCATCGTCTCAGCCGGTCCTGGGCCTCCGCCCCTAGGTCGACTCGGCCGCACATCGGAAGCTGGTGCGGTGTGTGGTAAACATCGCCGCTGGGGAAGACAAAGGCGGCCGGGCGTGGTGCTGGCCTCCCACCCCATCGTGCGCCGTGCCGGCCTTCATAGGTGCTGCTCGCTAACAGCACTTGCCCCGACAGTCTGTTAGAGGCTACGTGGGGGATCTTTGTCTTTCTGCGCCCACTTCTGTGCTGCTCACTGAGACGCAGTCGAATAGCCCCCCAAAGTTGAATAGCCCCCCGAAGTCGAATAACCCCCCAAAGTCGAATAGCCCCCCAAAGTCGAATAGCCCCCCAAAGTCGAATAGCCCCCCAAAGTTGAATAGCCCCCCAAAGTCGAATAGCCCCCCAAAGTCGAATAGCCCCCCAAAGTAGAATAGTCCCCCACATTCGAATAACCCCCAACGGGCGTGATGGAGCCTTCATCCAGCAGTGGATTGGCAAACCGGCTGGTGGTGCGCTTGGCTTGACGAACTTTTTGTTGCTGTTTGTGGAGCGACATCTGTACAAGGGAGAGAGAGAGAAAAAAAACCGTTCAAGACATTTTTTCTAATCACTGAAATTAGCCTGAAGGCGGGAGAGACGCCGCTGCCGTCATTGTTGGACCAACTCCCCCGCTCCGTGCAGATCGCGGCGCCGGGCCTACGGCCGCAACGCGACCGCCCGCTCCCCGAGAGGTCACCGGCGCTGACCGGCGCTGACCAGCATGGCCGAGTGCGGTCACGCGTCCTGCGTGACCGGCACGGGGCACGGGGGGAGCCCCCCCCGTGCGGGTGGCCGGTCGCCGCCGCCCCGCCGACGGCGATTTCCGCCGACGTTGCCGCGCCGTCGATTCGGCGCGAGAGAAGCCCAACGGCGCCTTCGAAGGAAATCATTCGCCGTCGTCGCCACCGCCATCGCCGGAGGAGGAGGAGGCGGCCTCGCCGTCGCCTTCGCCGCTGTCGCCGCCGCCGCCGGAGCAGGAGGCGGAGGAGGAGGAGGAGGCGGAGGCGTGAGTAATCGGACGTTGCAACTCCGAAAAAATACCAAATGCAGGAATTGCGTCACATCGCATGGCTCGGTACCTCTGAAAGCAAGCAAGAGTTACCGCTCACCGCCAACGAGTTGACCCCTGGAACTTTACCCCGCCAACGTGACCCCCCTCCACCCGTCGGCAGTGACGCAGCAGCCCTCCGTGACGTCACGTTCGTGGGTTCTGCCTCGTGACGTCACGTTCGTGGGTTCTGCCTCGTGACGTCACGTTCGTGGGGTTCTGCCTCGTGACGTCACGTTCGTGGGTTCTGCCTCGTGACGTCACGTTCGTGGGTTCTGCTCCGTTGTGACGTCACGTTCGTGGGTTCTGCCTCGTGATGTCACGTTCGTGGGTTCTGCCTCGTGACGTCACGTTCGTGGGGTTCTGCCTCGTGACGTCACGTTCGTGGGTTTCGTGACGTCACGTTCGTGGGTTCTGCCTTGTGACGTCACGTTCGTGGGTTCTGCCTCGTTGCCGGTGCCCGCCAGCGCCGCTTCGGCAGCGGCACCGCCTGATGGCTCGCGCCTCCGTGCGCGTGGGGGGGGGGGCATCTGGTAAACAATCAGCGTGGGACCAAGCCCTCAGCCAAAAAAACACAGCACACAGTACACACACAGTACACACAGTACACACACAGCACACACACAGTACACACACACAGTACACACACAGTACACACACACAGTACACACAGCACACACACAGTACACACAGTACACACACACAGCACACACACAGCACACACAGTACACACACACAGTACACACACAGTACACACAGTACACACACAGCACACACAGCACACACAGAGTACACACACAGTACACACACACAGCACACACACAGCACACACAGTACACACACACAGTACACACACAGCACACACAGTACACACACAGTACACACACAGCACACACACAGTACACACACAGTACATACACACAGTACACACACAGCACACACAGTACACACGGTACACACACAGTACACACACACAGTACACACACACAGTACACACACACAGTACACACACAGCACACACACAGTACACAGACAGCACACACACAGTACACACACAGTACACACAGAGTACACACACAGTACACACAGAGTACACACACAGTACACACAAACAGTACACACAGCACACACAGCACACACACAGTACACACACACAGCACACAGTACACACACAGCACACACACAGCACACAGTACACACACAGCACACACACAGTACACACAGTACACACAGGACACACACAGTACACACACAGTACACACACAGTACACACACAGCACACACACAGCACACACAGCACACACACAGTACACACAGAGTACACACACAGTACACACACACAGTACACACACAGCACACACAGTACACACACAGTACACACACAGTACACACAGCACACACACAGTACACACATACAGCACACACAGCACACAGTACACACACAGCACACACAGTACACACAGTACACACACAGTACACACAGTATACACACAGTACACACACAGTACACACAGTACACACACACAGTACACACAGAGTACACACACAGTACACACACACAGTACACACACAGCACACACACAGCACACACAGCACACACACAGTACACAGAGTACACACACAGTACACACACACAGTACACACACAGCACACACAGTACACACAC